AAAATAAGGCTTTTGGAAAATGTGCTCGTGATCTGGTTTTCTAGGATTTGTTCAGTGCTGTGTAGTTGCTGGGAATGCTACCGCTGGGAGCGTTCAAGCTGCTTGGTTATCTTCACAGGTAGTGGGAGGGCTTCACGCTAATAAAGAATAATAAAATACCTGAGGTCCACACAATGCTCTTCATTTTATAACCAAACTAACAGCATGTTGGAAAACTGCCTTTGAAAGATAGTGTGGAAGAAGCCTCAAGTAGAAGCCTCTGGATTTCAGATTTTTTCTGCTTGAGAAATTCAGTTTTCTGTTGCCTTCCATCATACTGGGGTGATCCCTGCTTTAATGTCCATGTTGTCGCTTTCCTCATTAGTCTGCTAGCACAGGGCCGTGGGAGCTTTTTTTCTCAAGTGGCCTCCCTGCTTCTTTCTAAGGTAATGTCTTGTGCTACTACTGTGTTGTTTCTCTGCTGCTGTTGGGCATCCCTGGTCTGCAGGTCTGTCCCCTTCCCCAAGACACTTTGTGTTTTGAGAGCAATAACAGCAGTGAGTGAAAGAGCTCCAGGTGCCACTCATTGGCCTCAATTTCGTTGCCTCCTTCCATGCAAGTGGAAGGCTTGCGTGGACATTGACACGTGGGTGACTGTCAAAGCCCTCGGACATGTCCAACCCATCAAAAGCCTAAAAGCACCAGACTCTGAGAAAACTCTCAGGGCCACAGAGTGTAGTGATATTAGTTCATGTCTGCTGAGAGCAGGTTTAAACTGGTACTGACTTCCTAAAAATTCTTGGGATAAAAAGAAAAAAGTTACGCTACTTTTGATTCTAGTGGTTTCTGGGTGCTGTCACATCTTGTATCATTAGAACATTCCCAGGATTTACAGAATCTGGTAGTAGGACAAAATATCATAGGATACCCTCACAGAATGGAGAGCACTTGTGTTGAAAAAGGTCAGTGCTGTGTGAAAGCATTGACGCTGGAAAGCAGGTTTAATAAAACAGCTGTTTGAGTGCTGCTACTGCAGAATAAAGAAATCTGTGTCTTTTCTCCAAGGGAAACACATGCAAGTTAAGTATGTAGTGCTAACTGATTTACATCAAGCTAGCTACTGCTGCACTTCATTTGGCTTATCCTCCAGAATTAATTTATGAAGACACTGCATCTTTGTTTTTGTTTTGTTTTGTTTTTTTCCTGAGGCTATAGACAAGAATCTTTACTTTTGAAATCTAGCTCTAGAAAGAGGTAATGCTTCCTAAATTCATTTTTCTTTACATAATAAATGTGTTGAATATTATAAGATGAAGAGCTTTTAATTGTATGAGATGTGGTTGGCTGTCAAAGAGAGATTATAACAAGTGGTTTCTAGCCAAACTGCAGTTGCTGAGGAGTGATGGATCTCTTGCCAGCACTAAAGAGGCTCTCTTCACGCTGGATGTCTGCACACTCCTCGTGGGCAGAGTGCAATAATCTTCCTGAATGTAGAGATTAGAAATTCCACTGCAGAAATGGAAGTTTTCATGTTAACTGCGTTGCTCCTTTCAACAGCTGGTGCTGTAAGGAGTAGAGCTGGGAGAGCTGAGGGGCATTGTTCCTGCTCTCATGGTTTTCTTTTGTGCCTGTCCTCTTCTGCTGCAACATTTTTTTTCCTGGCTTTTTAATCATTATTTTTTAAATAAGAGAGGGAAGAAAAAGGAATGCAAAGGTAGAGCATAGCATGTCTGTGCCCATCTCTTCTGGGATCACTGGTTCCTCTTGGCATATTTCAGGCTATAGTCTTCTGCCGTAGTGATGAGCGCAGTATTAAAATCTAACCGAATAGTTATTTCTGTTTACGTATAAAAAAAGCTGATTTTGTTGCAGGCACCTTACTAGAGAATTAGAGTCTTAAAGACTTTATTAGTACCATATGTAGACAGGTGAGTAGGTGGCTTAAGTGCTGGCAGCATCAAGCCCAGGATGAATAAATATAACATTTCTTTCTGCGCAGTTTCATAAGGATTGCATCCCAGGCATTACCTATAGAGCGACGGACAGCAGTGATAAATAATCTATATTCTATTGAATATCATTTTTAAAAGGCCAAATATTTTCATGTATAAAAACATTTGGTAGACAAAATATATTAAAATATAAATTCAAAGTAATTGTACCTTTTGGAAGTTTACTATCTTGTGTTATTATTGTTGTTGTTATTACTACTAGTGATTTAAACTCTAATAAAAACAATTGTTTAAGCCAGAGGTGTTTTAACTCATGAAGCAATAAAGTATTTGAGTTATGTAGCATACACTGAGGGAACAGTGCCTTACTGCTATTAACTCTTAGCATTATAAAGGCAATCATCCACATAAAACAGTTCTCTCTACTTGTTTCTGGGATGTTACTATTCATACTTTAAAATTTAAGTGATAATTCTTACAGCATTCTTCAAGGGCAGAGGCAGAAAGAGCGTTTTCATCCTTTTTCGAGAATGACATTTAAGAGTTTTTATGCATTTAAAAAATATACAAGGTTTCTTTTTAACCTGTAAATAAGCCTGAGCTGGATTTGAATGCTTAAGCTGCTGAAAAGAAAGGCTTGTTTTGCAGCTGTCGTTAACAAGAGGAAGATGATACTTGCTTCTGCTTGTTTCTTGACCATTTAGTGAGGAAGTTCTGAAACTATTTCTGTGATTGTAAATTAGATTCAAAATGACTGAATGATTTGGAGGGGTCTGTGGGAATTATGCAATCCAAGAGAAAAATACAACTGAGAATCCTCAGTGTAGTTGTCATAGGTACAGAACAGACTGCTGGTTGTATAGATGCTGTCCCTGTAATGAAAAGCCAAATGAAAAAGATAAAACCGTAATATTAATGGTCCTAAAGTTGGAAACTAAGATTAAAATTGCCTGTTACGGAACCAAAGATTGCTCAGATGTAAAAAGCATTGTCTGTCTGGAAAATTTATTTGTAGTTAATAGCGTTAAAGACAGGTCTAACTTATATTTAGATTTGTACAATATTGCAATAAAGGGTCATTGTTTAATTTTGTAGTAGCTCATGATGTTGGCTGAAGCAAACTAGGAAATGAGGCAGGGGGGAAACACTCTTAAGAAAAACAGTAATATGTTCATAGTTCTTAACAACCCAGTACGTATTTAAGGCGTTTAAAATGATTACGGTAGTGAGTGGCTTAATAAAATGTTATTTTCAGAATGTATTCATATCCTGAATGATATATTTAATTCAGTGAAACTAATGTAAAGTTTAGTTAGTTTATGTGCAAAATCATCTTTCTTTCGGAGCATTTTGGAGCATACCCGCTGTGTGTATGCAAATACATACACATTCAAAGAAGTAATTTATATGAAGAGTCGCCGTGCTCTTTGTATCATAGTGCCCATTTCCAGCCAAAATTAGTTCATTTGTAATTGAAGGCTTGCATGTTGTTAAGTTACGCATACCACTATTCCAAGTTTTTAGGGCAGGAACTGGATGATGTATAGAAAACATAATTTTGCTGTGTCCATCTGGCTAGTTTTTGGTGTAGGTAATCTCTTGCTCTTGACAATCATAAGATCCTCATGAAACGATTAGAATCTTGCTGGTGCTTCTGTAGGCAATGGAGGCAATTACATTAGAGGTGCAGTCAAAAATTTGGAGAAAAAGACTATATAGGAATCTCTTTAAAACTTTTAAAAAATATTATTGCGACCAGCTGTTATATTTGAAGATGTAACGTACTAAGCCCATCAGTCGATTTCCATTAAATCTGTGCAACTTGTACGTAATTATGTTGTTGGCTGATGAGAGTGAACAAATCTCTCATGGCAAGCTACAGCCGCGCTTAGTGGCCTGCTAGCGATAACTTATCTCAAAAGTGATATGGTAACGTAATTAACGTAATTGAAAAGCACATACGGAAGAAGGAAACGTTCTTTCTTCCAGGCAGAGAGAGTATTTTATTGGATAGGCAAAGAAAGCTACAAAAGAAAACAAGGGTGAATTACCAGCAGGTTTCTGAGATGAAAGCTGCATTTTCACAATTTGAAATAGGATATGAGGGCTGAAGGTTGAATGAGTCTAGATCAGTATTTGAAGACTTGTGTGAAAGAATTTGCACGTGTGTGTGTGTAGAGTAGAGGAGAATCCTCAACTGCCTGGAGGTTGGTAAGTTCAAGTACAGTTGTGTAACAGGACGAGGAGAGTTAAATCTTTCTCTTAAAATTATCTTTAGGCATACTCCTGAGATTGTATACTGTTATAATTGGAAGAAATCAGTGTTCTTTTGTTACTGCATAAAAGAACTAACGTGTGTCTGGATGTATCAGTGCCCAGTCACAAGAGCTTACATTGTATTTTTTACAAGGAAATGCTAATATCTGATACTAACAGGTAACATTAGCATTTAAAGAAAGCAAACAAATTAGATGGTCTGACTAAACAAACAAAAAAATCATTCCTTTTCACAGCTATCTGTGCTAAATAGCTGGCAGGTCTGAATTCCTAGGGTCCTTGTACAGTATGTCAAGATAGAATTGCATGCCAGGACAACCTCCTTGTCTAGCTCCTTTTTCTTGACTCCTGTAAAGACTTTTTCTTGACTGCTGGGTTTACTGTCTGTGGATTTACCTTGGAACTGGATGATTGCTGGTGCAGAAAAGTCCTCTGCTGTCCCTAAAGCCTAAATTTCCCCAGGTGCCCCCAGGGTCAGTATACCCTGTTGTCTTGGGGAATGTGTGCAAGCATTTTAATGTTTAATAATACAAGAGTTGCTTTCTCTGGAATGTTCAGTCTTTTAGAATAGCCTAACTTTTGCACAGTGTGCTGTTACTTTTTTTCCTATGCAGTATCTTGTTCTGGAAGGTGGGTGTTCTGCTTGGATTTCACTGCTGCGCTTAGAGCAGCAAAAAGAGATTTATAAGAAATTGGTTTCATTTTCAAAACTACTGATTATTTTTACTTGTTTTCAGTGTATCTGGCATTTTTTTAGCTTAATAAATTGATCTGCTTTCTATCCCAATACAGAATGGGGGCGTCAGACAACATTTACAAAGGCCGAAGTACCTTTATGGAGGAACTGACAGATACTGCTGAGATAATAAGAAAAGCAACCTCAAGATCATTAGTCATTTTGGATGAACTAGGAAGAGGAACTAGCACTCATGATGGAATTGCTATCGCTTATGCAACACTTGAACATTTTATTAGAGATGTAAGTATTAAGTCTAACAGATGCTCGTAAACGCATTCTTAGCCTGTATTATAGTAGGTTGACTTTGACATGGGATGGATTTCCTTTCCGCAGAGATGCAGCATGTGCATCACTCAGAGTGAAGAGCTGTGCAGAAAGGATACAAGTGCTATGTTGGTGTGTTTAAAAAAACTAAAAACCAGACCCTCATATGTATCTGTCTTCTTGTAGGTGGAATCACTGACACTGTTTGTCACTCACTATCCCTCAGTTTGTGAGCTAGAAAAGGTGTATCCAGAAAAAGTTGGCAATTACCACATGGCTTTCTTGGTGAATGAGGAGGAAAGCGGTGAACAGAAAGGTACGATATAAATACATCTGAGATAGGTATAGACAGAACATATAAAACTGTGGTAGTAATTTAAATCTGAATATAAAAATTACACAGCTAAGCTCGCTAGAGTATCAGCCTATATTTCACATTTGGCGGCAGGGGCCTTCAAAACTGAACATCCACTTCTCTTTCACAATTAATATAAGAATGACTGAGCTGATGCAAATCAAAAATTCACTTAGCCCAGTATCTTTCTTTTCACAGTAGCCAAATACTTGGGATTAAGGAGGTATATAAAAATATGTCAAACATAAAGGTGAGTCTTTCTCTAAAAGATCTCGTCGTCTGCAAACACTTGCTGCTCAGGGGGCCTCAAGACCCAGGTGGGGTTCCTGTTTTTCAGTAATCCTCAATGAATTTCTCTTCCATGAGGTTGCTTGTTTTCCCTGTGGATCCATGTACGCTTTCAGCATCTTAATCATGTTGTCTCAAGGAGCTCCAAAATTTAATCCTGCATTATGTGAAGAACCACCTCCTTTTGTTTGTTTTGAAACTCTTTCGAAAGAACACACATCTCCATTTGATAATTCCAGTTCTTGAATCAGAAGAGGCAGAAAACTGATTCCTATTCATCCTTTCCATGCCATAACCTAATTTTGTAGATTGCTTATCATCTTCACACATTATGATAAGCAATATGCTCATAAACTTCAGATGGAGGTTTGGTGGAGGGGGAGTTGGCTTTTGTGTTCTGTTTAATTTTAGAAGCAGGAATCCCTGAAATGTGTGTAATCTTTGAGCACTGGTAGCTTAATGTAATGTTGTGTTTAGGTGACCACTGTCTAGCCATGCTGATGTTCACAGTTAAGATCATCACCTGCCTGAACATCAGCCTGTCCCTTTCACACAGAGTTCAGTAATTAAAATGTTGATCTCGTCAGATACTCAAGTGTCAGAGATGAGAACGTTATTAACATTCAATTTTTATTCTTCTTCAGATATTGCTTCCATTAAACCCTGTACTTTCTATAGTAGAGGGGCAGGTTCCATAACTGAAGACCCGCCATCCTCACCTTTATTTTTCCTGAGCGTTTTCCAGTTTCCTGACAGCCAGCAAGCTTTTTGTTGTGCTATAGTTAAAGGCTTCTTAATTGCAAGATTACTGACACCTCTTTTATTCTGTAATTGCTGGGCAGACATGAAATGCAATACCCTGGTCACAGCACAACTAGTCAGTTTGGCATGTAAATATTCTTAAGTTGTTAACAGCCTTGTCATCCTCAGGGGTGAGAACCTGTGTATGTAGCTTTGCACGTGCACACATATGTATACACACACACACTCTTTTGTAATAAGACAGCAGGTAAACCTACAGTAAAGTGTTTTTTCTGTCTGACAATATGCAGCTATAATATGTGAACTCAAGGAAACGTTTTTCTAATTTTATATTTCTTCAACTGAATTAATCTCATGGGAACCCTGAATGATAATGAGACCACAATCTCTGTCATTTCAGTGTTCAGACTGTTGCATTTTATTAATATAATAGATGTTTTTCTGATTTTGATTTTATTCTTTAGGATCTGAAGATGGAGAGAATCCTGAATTTATCACTTTTCTTTATCAAATAACCAAAGGAGTCAGCGCAAGAAGTTATGGGCTAAATGTTGCCAAACTGGCAGATGTTCCTGAAGAAATCTTGAAGAAGGCAGCTCACAAATCAAAGGAGTTGGAGGGATTAGTGAATACGAAAAGGTCAGAACAATTGTGGTTTTCTTTTTTTTTTCTAATGAAACTTGCAGATGTGAATGGAGGAGCGTTTCACACTGAATGGGCATTTAAAAAAAGAACAGTAAGAGCTGCTTCTGATATCTTCAGTACTTTAGAGAAGAGAAAATGAAACAATCTTCAAAAAAATATTTAAGAAATTGTGCTATACATTTCAATCAAAGCTTTAGATTAACTTATTGAAATAATTCGGTAGGACGTATCATCTAATGCTTATTTTTGTTCTTACCAGTGCTAGTAAAAATATTAATAGGTTTAGTTTAGAAAGTGTATTATTTGCTTTGGAATTTGAAATTTTATTTGCAGACTATAAAGGAGAGGGGAATACTGATAATTTTGCTTCTGACTTAACTTTAAATGTATATAGTGGATTTTGATTGCCCTACACACATACAAGGTTTCATTAGAAGTCCGAGAATTTTAATATTTTTCTGATAACCGATTTTCACTTAGGGGCATATGTGCCTTAAATAGCAGACTAGTAATTAAAATTCCCTTGTGGATCAAACAGCATCACCTTTATATGTCCTATAACATTATGTACACCATTGAGATGTAAAAATTTTAGTACTCATAGGCGTTTCCACTGAATTTTTTATTGCTGTTATTTTTAGTGTAAAATTCAAGTAGCTCTTTAGGAATATAGTAAATCAAGAGCTTTCTTGCCTGATGGTCACAAATAATCCTAGCAGAAGTATTGCGTAAGAGAAGATTTTAAATACTAATTATTTGTAGGTGCAAACAGTTTGTTTGAAGTGTAACAGTGTGTAGAGCTTAAAGCCAATTTTATCTCTTTGAGAAAGCGAAACAAGAACACTATTTTGAAGATACATGACAGTTTATGGAAAATAATGTAGAGGTTTATATTCCTCAGAAGTAACGGTCCAAAATTTACACAAGTAACACAACAAATGATTAGCAATGACTTAACTCTACCGTTGTAAGATACATGGGGTTCTGAAAAACAGAAGAAGTTATTCTGCAGGAAGGTGACAACATGAACTGGAAAGCCACAGATTTTGTGTAATCAAATTGACATGTCAAATAATAAAAAAATATCCTTTTGGTTTATAATCTTTTGATCTGACAAAATCATGTTAGGATATAGCTTGGCTATGGCACAAATAGCATGCTAGAATGCATCGGTTGCTAAAAAGAGAGTTTATCGCATACGAAACCTGTAAGCAATAAATAGAGTACGTGATCACGTAACTGATCACGACTGTTCTGCGGCGCTCGCGGCGGGGTAGGGCTCAGGCTGACTGGGTAATCTTAACTGTGGGACTTGTGCATTTTTTCAGCTTTTGAATATGTGAATATGTGTATTTTAGCTTTTGGTATGTAACATGCTTGTATTCGTAAAGTGAAAAAGAAAAAATATTTGATCTACAACAGCGGTGAGTCAGGATACAGGACTTTTCCCAGTACCCAACGGTTCGCTGCCTCCTGGGCTGCGGGAACGCTGCGACTGGGAGAGGAAGTTGTCCGGGAGCCTTCTCGGCAAGTTCGGCCCCTGCAGGCTGCTGCCCTTTCCTCCAGGAGAAAGGCCGTGCTGCTCGAAAAAGCAGGAGGGAGAGGGGAGGAGAGGGGAGACCCTTCCTTCTGGCAGCGGTTGGCACCTTGATAAAATTAGGGCAGCTGTGAAGCTGCAGCCCTGCCTGCCGCACCAGCCTCCCCCTTTCAGAGCGGGAGCC